GCAATCTCTTCAAATAATGAGATCAAATAATTAACTTCGTTCCGCAGTATTTCATTTACCCCATTTTTATCCGAAACGCTTTACCCTTTTAACAAGTGCCTTTAATCATTAATCTTAGTTTAAGGCTAATTTTTGACTTCATGACCACTATGTTAGCAATAGTTTACACTAAGAAAAGGGGAAAAAAGGAAAAAAGAAAGAAAGAAAGCAGGAAAAAAGACCAATAATTTTTGTCAGAAAAAATCCTGTTGTTCTGCCCTTCAGATGCCATTACTTTCAGCTATAGACATTACGATTTTTATTCCAATTCTCAATTCTCAAATATGTTACTGCTGTGCGTGTTGCACAATACAAAGGAAGAAACAAAGAAATGCTTTCTTGACGGACTCCATTATCCATGTTTTAACTATAGATATCACTACCATTAATTTACTTAAACCTCACTTTATTAAACGTACATGTTATTTTATCCAGTATACGAGTATACTGCACCGTTAAGTCAGAAGTCAGTTAAAACAACCCATTTCAGATGAGGTTAAATCATAAATTCAATTATCTGCTTTTGTAAGTCATTCTAACAAAAGAAGAATCCCCACAAAGGACAATTGAAAGACTACACGAAATTCGGTCCTAACATGCACAAAATCTCAAAGAACAATTCCGAGATTCTTTCAGTAGAAATTTTACTGGACTAAATTAGATCACCTTTGTATTTTGAAATCACTGGGACATACAAGATAAATGAACTAAAATTTATGAACCTGGTCTAGAGCCTTCAACTTAAGCCCTGTTTACACTGGCGATTTTTGCGGCGATTTTTGTGGCAATTTTCGGAAATATGAAATCTTTTGTCTCATTCTCCAAAAGAGACATTCATCTAGGAAAAGCTTGGTATCCTAAAAATAACTTAACAACTAAATTGTTTACCATTATTTATTATGGACAAAATCGAAAAAAAAAAGTCGCCGCAAAAGTCGTGGTGACTTCAACATAATTGCAAGTAGATTTAGTATTTTTTTAGATTTTCTCCAAACTCGGAAAACTAAATGACTGAAAACAATCTATTTAACAAGAATCTCAAGTTTCATGGAAATCGATCGATTTTTAGCGAACAGGAGCACAAAAGTGTTGGGGGAAAAAACGCTGTTAGAAAATTGGCCCGTAACGATAAACGTGTGACTCAAAAATAAAATTTCGAATACACCATCAAAAAGCCAAAATGTTTGAGCTACTACATGTGCTAAATTCAGAAATATTCGAGTGTTTTTGACACGATACGGAAGTTTGAAAAATCGCTAAGTTTACTCGCAATTGTGTTGGATTCGCCTTAAAAGAATTAATTAGATAGGTCGTTTTATAATATATAATTCATAAATACCTTATATTTTGCTTTAGAGTTTACCACTTTAGGAATTATATAACTTAATCTAAGAGTTTTTATATCTATAGATGATGATCAGTTTTGGTTTTTAAAACTTTAAAATTAATTTAATAATTTATTTATTTTTTCACAGGATTATTAAAACTTCAGGAAATTTTGTTAAATTATTTGATAAAAAACGATGCCAAACTCCAATAAACAAGTTAAATCACTTACTTTAAATTTACATACAAAGAAACTAAAGGGAACAAAATACCTTATTCCAGATGTGCGTTCCCAGATACTTTTCCAGCATTTCGATAGGATTCTACGAGGATGCCATAGCTATGTTATGCCCTGTAAACTTTCAAAATGATTCCGGATCCTTCGACTTGTTCCTTATTAATATATTCAAGTTTAGGAAAAGCCCTTCACCTGCTCCATTTTGAATAATAACCATGGAGACCTGACGTCATCAGCAGCTTTTGGTCAATCAGAAGTCTTGATCTATTCTTGGAGTATAGTTTACTTGAGTTTTTGGTATCAACATCGTAATCATCTTGACTTATAGCTGAAGCAGAAGAGTGCTGATTATAGATTTGTCTTTTAGGTTTTACTTGCTTTTAGTACCTCTAGTCATAAAACCTTAAAAGGAAAGCTGTAAAATATAAAAATTTCCACTGGGACAGAATTTCTAGTTGAGAATCGTGATACTGTAACATTAACAGAGGCATTTTGTCTTAACATTTAAAAACAGCTTGAAGCCTATGCATCTACGATTCCACTCATTGGCTGGGTGAAGAGTTAATTATGCAAGTATAACTACCGATGGGATGGATGAGAGAACACGGCTGTAGAAGGGAGGAGGGGTGGAAACAAAAATGCACTTTATGACCTGGAATAGGGTGAAAATTATGAATGGGGGAAGGGATGCTTTGATAAAAAAATAGTATAAAGGGATAGATGGGATGGACGAGAGAACACAATTTGGGGAAGGGAGGAAACAAAAATGCACTTTATAGGGTGAAAATAAAAAAATAGCATAAAGGGATAGTATAGATGAGATGGACGAGAGAACACAATTTGGGGAAGGGAGGAAATAAAAATGCCTTTTATGACCCGGAATAGGGTGAAAATTACGAATAGCAAAGCAGATGCATTGATAAAAAATAGTATAGAGGGATAGATGGGATGGACGAGAGAACACGGTTGGGGAAGGGAGGAGGGGAGGAAATAAAAATGCACTTTATATGACCTGGAATAGGGTGAAAATTACGAATAGCAAAGCAGATGCATTGATAAAAAATAGTACAAAGGGATAGATGGGATGGACGAGAGAACACAATTTGGGAAAGGGAGGAAATGAAAATGCCTTTTATGACCTGGAATAGGGTGAAAATTATGAATGGGGGAGGAGATGCATTGATGAAAAAATAGTATAAAGACAACTGGGATAAAGGACACCGATTGGGGGGAATTCGAAAGGACAAAACTTAGTAGAACAAGCGAAACGGGTGGGGATTAAAAGAGGCAAATAAGAGGGGGAAGAGAGTTTGGTGGGAGAAAAAAGGGAAAAAAGACAAGACTGAGTGAGATGAAAAATAGATCGTCCAAGGCGAATATTAGAAATAACATTAAATGAGGTGAAAGGAAGCCTCAAATAGGACGAGAAATAGCCAAAAATCTGTACCAAGTCTGGATGGAAATCTTGAGGAAAAAATTAAAGGTGAGGCAAATGAAAAATTAAGAGCGATGGGGAGAGGACTCTATACTAAGTTTACACAAATTAAAATTCATCTCTGGTTTTGCAAATCCTCTTGCTATGAACAATTTTGAAATTTTGAAATTATGTTATTTGATGTCGTGATTTAAAAGTGTTCTATAGGTTTCAAAAATATTTTATACACTCGATGTTAAATTCAATGTAATTTTATTTTATTCAATTCAATTTTTTTCAACATGCTTAAATTTAAAGCTCTTACTAACTGGTTTATTCAAGGCTAAGGAATACCAATAATGATGCGGATATTATCAAAAAATATAGAAGTTAGATTGAAATTATTGATCAGACCTATTTTATCGTTCATTGTTGAAATATCGTGATTGATCATGTTGGTATCAATAGATCTTCGTCAAAATCATTTAAGAAAATTCTAGACTAAAATTATGATTATAATTATGTTTAACTGAATTTAGTTCTTAGTTCTTATTTATAATATTTTGTGCAGATATGATCTGTGTGTTATCGCATGCTTGTTATGAGAAAATCGTGTATGTCTTTTTTTTTTATGACAAGTACATAGAGGTACCTGCATGCCTAATAATCAGGTGTGATATTAAATGCAAAATCAATAACCCTTTTAGATCTTATTTATGGTTATTAGAAGGTAATTGAGGATATCTTAAACAATCCTCATGAGAAGGAAAGCTCCATGCCCATCCAGAAGCCCTGGAATAGCTGGTTAGATTGGCAAGAAGACCTAGCCTGGTCTATCAGGGTACTATATAAGGGCCAGGAAAAATCAAGCCAATAAATAAACAGGGGAAACCAAAAGAATCTATTGGCTTAGAAAGAGTGTACCATTTCAACTTACTAAGTGCATGCATTCTTGACGATTCTTTTGAGCAATCTTCTAACTAATGATCCAAATATTGTGATTCTAATTTTTAGTTCAATACATTGATCATTCGTCTTGTAAGAACTCCAAAAACAGAGACTTGTCTTCTTCTTGCATGTTCAGTTTTCCACTTGAACATTGAGAAATGAAATACTCAGCGAAAGTCAATTTGTCATGGATGGTTTTTTCGTCCACTGAGTCAATATAAGTCAGCGTCCTTTGAATTCCTTGTACTCTGGTTGGTAGTTCGTCCATGCTTTTCTTCATTTCACGCCGCCTTTGCGTGTCTTCGTCAATATATTTTAGTGATGGTTCTTGCCAGGGTGCCCGTGGTGGAGGTCCTCCGACACCAAGTATCACCTTGAGTCTTTGCATCATGAAGTCTGCTATTTCAAACTGGTCACTGTTCTCTGAATCAGCAGCGACATCTTCTTTGCCCATTTCATAGCAATCCATTAGGATAGCCATGAACATGTTCATTAAGAAGAATACCATGAGGATAGCAAACACAACAAAGAAAGAAGGACCCAAAAATGGCTCCGTTGTGGACAACTCAGTGAAGTATGCTTTGCCTAACAACATTGCAAGAAGTGTCTGGATAGTTAAGAAAACTGAACCAAAGCCTTCAGTGTTGGAGCCAAAAACGAGATATGAGAAGCTGACCAGAGATGCAAAGAGTATAAATGCTTCTGTTGCGAGAAGTGCTAGGCTTGGCTTGGCATGGACAACCGTTCGGTACAACACTATGATGTGATGGTTAAAGCTCATCAGGTACAGGAACTTCAGGGTTGTGAGGAATACAACAAGAGCAACGACGTAATTATTGATTTCTGCCCATTTTGTGGTGTACTGGAAGTTAATATACAAAAATGGATTTTCTTCAAGTTTTTTCATCGTGCGATTAGCATCGATTAAACGAATCACAACCAGGACAACGGCTGACAGAGTCAGAATAATGACAATCAGTTGAATGGTATCCCAAGTATTTTTAAAGTATTCTTTTCTCATGTGGTAAATCTTCTTAATATTGACATAAGCCAGGATCAGGGTGATGATGACCACGGTAAACTGGCAAAGTATGACTATTGTCTGTCCAGGGCCTGTGTTTTGGTAAAGACGGAATGTCTCTATTCTGAGAATTGAATCACTGCCACCGATTCCTTGCATTTCTATTAAATATGTCACGAAGCTAAAAAGGTTGGCGTAGCCATTGTAGATGGTAAATTCGATGAATATCGCCCTCGTCTGGTCGTCTACCCATTTTTTATTTTTAAGGACACCTATGATTCCCCTGGCTTGATCAATAGTGTAGCCCAGATCAGCTGTGTAGCCACCGCCACCATACACGCCCATTTGACCCCAGAATGGAATGCCATTCAACTCTATGAAATCTTTGTACTTCCAAGGGACAGGACAAGATGTAGGAGTCAAGTTTGCCATTTTTTCCCATCCTGGCAGGAAAAAGGATTTCAGTTCCTCAAACGCTGAGTACGGCTTAGTGCATTCTGTGACGGTGTAGTTGACATCACATTGGCCTAGAATGAACAGTAAGAAAGAAAGTGTTAAGGCTATTGTGATTAATTAGATTCATATTTGGTACGAAATGAATAGGCCATTTACATCAAACAGCCACGTGCTGATATATATCACTTTGATAAGGAGTCAATTCAGTCAAATGTCCCTTGGGTATTACGCTCTGCTGGATGGCAAACGAACTTTAGATTGCTTAGGCTCATGTCAACCGTCGAACTTCAAATGAGCCGAACTAAATGACATCAAAGACCGCCTTGTTCTCTATTGTTCCAATTAGGTTCGGCTCATGTGAAGTTCGACGTTTGAACGCCTGAGCCTAAGTATCTTGAAATCAAAAAAATAGGTGAAAAGGTTTTTGATATGAAATGAGTAATTCAGAAAAAAGTTTTTATGTCCTGCAAAAGGCCTGTGGAGGAGTTGATAAACGTTTGAATATTTTTTTTTGGGGTTTAAGTCAGTCCGTCAGAGAAAAACAATTACGTTTGTAAATAAAAATTGAATTAGGAAATTATGTAACGAAATCATAACATTACTTTTAAAAAAATCAATTTCTACATGTCTGTTATTTTCAGGAACGAGTGCTACAGGTTTGTTAGCTAGCTATTAAGTGCGCTTGTTTCTACTAAGTAGAGTCTTCTGCTAAAGCTATATTTTCTTCAGGCTTCTATGCTTGCCTTCTATTGTTAGGTTCAGTCAGTGAAGCTACTGCAATGCTCCTCTTGAGACGAACGGAGGGTCACATATTTACAAACGTTGAGAAAAGGAAGACCGAAAGATTTTTATAACATCCGCCGAGACGATAAAAGACACTGCGATGTCTTAAAATCAACAGAACAAGAAACAACTCACCGTTCGTCTGGTTTTGAGTTCATTATCATAATTTTTTCAATATAGCAGAGGAACTAAAGGGGACTATTGACCTTTTTATCTTGGGCCCAAACGTTTTCCCATTTCAGACCACTTCCATTCCCAAGATTACAATTTCTTTGTTTAAAGGTTGCGCATGAGAAGACACATGAATAAGGATACCATTTAAACAAAGAATCTTATTCTCCAGGGAATGACATATGGTCTAAAATGGGAAAATACTACGCCCAAGCTAAAAAGGTCTATTGAGGCTTTGATTAACCAAAGGTCAAACGTCAAACGTCAGACTTCCTATTTGGCAAACAAATAAGATAAAATAACAGTTTATCGTAGATTGATAAGTTATACACCGTAGTGAAAATAGGAACTGACGTTTCGGACGTTAGTCCTTCGTCGGAGTCAATCAAAGATAAAGATAAAATAAAATACTTTTATCTTCGAAAATCATTACTAAAGTAAGTACGTTGCGCATAATAGTAATTGTATTAAAATATTAGAATTACCTCTCTTGACCCTTAGTTGTCTCAAACGTGGCATTCCAACTATGTAGAAATCCTTTTCTGCTGTGAATCCTTCTTCGTCAACACTTTTCTTCGCCGCTGTATCGTCATAGACGAATGGAAGAAATGTGTTATCAATATAACCCCAAAAAGCTTTTGGATCACTGACCTATGTATTTGCAAAAAATAAAAGACAATCAATATATATTATATGTCATATATAAGACGATAGGAAAGAAGATAATGGGAAGAAGCGGAGGATGGAAGACGAAAGGAAGGACTAAAAAGGAAGAAGCTAGCAAGCTTGGGAGAAAAGAATGGGAAGAAAGAATAGGGGAAAGGAGGGAAGGAAGCAAGCAAGCAAGCAAATACATAAATAAGCTAAGGAAGGAAGGAAGCATGGTACAATGGAAGAAGGCAAGCAAGCGAGGAGGTAAACAATGAAGTAAGCAAAGAAGCGAAAGGATAGAATAATGGAAGCAAGCAAGAAAGGGAAGGGCATACCAACTACTAACTCTATATTCATTTTCTTACCGGAGAGTTAAGCGCGTCCTCCAACGTCTTTTTCTGCATGTAAGCCATGGGATCTCTCTCTGTGTAGCTAATTACCACCAACATGAACAAAAATACGGCATGGAATATATTTTCTTTCATGATGCCGTACATTTGAGATTCTTTCATTTTGTATTCTCTTGCTTTTTCGATCATCTCTGGGTCCGGAGGCTCAACTCCAAGAGATTTATCAGACATCATGATGTTTACTTCTGACTCTTCATCAAGGTCTTTGTCTTCAGATTTCTCATTTTTACTGGCGCCAGCAAAGTCTTTTGGGAGCGTCTTTAGGACAGCGGCAACAAACAATGCAATACCACAAACCTTCATCGGTTGAGTAACAAAAGCATCTTGGAAAAATGAGACGAGCATTGAGGTCAGCCACTGATCAGAAGTCTCCTTGCCCCACATCATACTGTAGAAAAGTGTGATGGTGGCTGAAACCAAGGTCATTAGGAAGCACAGTGTCCATGCAATATAAGTGGTCCAAAATGGAATGCCTTCAGGTTTTTTTGCTTTTTCTCCTTTTTCTCTTCCCTCTTCGTCACTGCATTTTGTTTTCTCTTCGACGTTTTCTTCGTCTTTTTCTTTCTTTTTGTCGACCTCTTTAGGTCTTGCGCTTCTAAATATTTGAATGATGATGACATTAACTGGAAGTGCTATGAAACTGCTTTGGATTCCGATCATAAGTTGTCTCACACTGAACCTCAGAGGGCCTAATGCAATTGTCGACGTATCAGCTTCGCCTCCGATGTTAAAAAACATGGCGCTTGTCATCATGGTTGTGAAAAGAAGAGACATGCAACAGGAAAGTCTTTGAAGTCGTGTGAAAGTACTCTTTGGTGGTTTGCCAATGACAGACAACCAAAGGTGGCCATCAAACAGATCATTAGATGTCTTAGTGCGAAACAATGTTTTGAAGTTTTTAAGCTCCTTGTCGCCACTAACCAGTAAGATGCGATCGACCAAACCGTCATCTTTCTCAAGAGCAAGCCAACGGTCACATACATAGATCCATTGTTGGTTGGTGCTAAGGTCTTTGACAATCACATAGCTTAGATACCATGAGGAGTCTTCTCCGGTCATATCATGCCATACACGTAAATACAGCAATGAACCAAGGCTTTCTGGTAAAGTCAGATGGAATTCATTCGTTGCTCCACGAGCGAATAATTGCTTGGTATCATCTGTTAGCGCGATTGGGCCACTTTGGCCACGTTGTCCGAATAAGTTCATCGACACTTTTGCAGTAGTGGCCGAATTTTTCCATGCTCCAGTTTGTACTGTGATGAGGTAACTATGTCTGTCACCACAACGATCTGTCTCGATCACTGTTACACCGCCCTATAAAACAACATAACACCATATCAATGCTGTATCACAAATATTGAGAATATGCACAACGTACAGACTCGCACGGTTATTCTATCGTCAAAAATGATGTCTTCTTTTACCTTCTTTGTGTCCTGCTTGTCTTTCTTCCGGCACCATACTCCTATTAGTATGTACAAGCCAAAGGCTGTGCATATCGTAAGAAGGACGGACAAGTTATCTGAGATATTTCCAAAGCCTGCCCATACTTGGTCAAAGTCGATTGGATTAGGCGCAACCAGCATGCCTCCGCCAAATCCCGTTAAGTGGTTGCACTGACAATGAATTAGTTCAAGTTTCGTGTTCTTTCCAGTCTAAAAAACAAAGGTTTTCTTACAATTAAATGCTGTTTAGTAGAACAAGGTAGGGCTCCGTTTAAATGTAGTTAAATTGAACCACCTTAACCACCAAGCTAGGGGCAATTTTCCCCCCAAGGGAATAGTACGATGAAAGAAAAGATTTATCTTTTATATCGACTTTAGGGTTATATTGGCTCAAGAGACCATAACATCTCTTCACTCCTTCGAAATTACAATGAAGCCTTAGACACATATTTTTAAATTCGTAAGGAAACGCCTTTGCATTTTATAACGCAACAGAAATGAAAAACAACCAACCTTTTTCAAATGTTTTGAGCTAACTTTAAATGAAAATAAAAAAATTAATCAATACGCCTCATGAACCCCCAAAAGACCAAACAGAAAATACGAAAACTATTATATAACATACCTTGCAACCTTCTTTGGACCAGACCTCTTTTTCCTCGTTCCAATACATACAAGGTGACTTGAAGTTTTGTAAAGAATAAGTAATATCTCTTAAAGGATCAAATTTAGGCACAACTGTTACCCGCTCTCCTCCAACCATTCCATATGGTAAAGTTGTTGGCTTAGGTGGCGGATCTTTGTACTCGACGCAGGACCTTTTCTCTCTTGTTCCGCTTCCACAGTCTCTTCTCGTGCGGGATTTAGTACTCAACTCAACTTTGGCCAAGTTTTTCAAACCAATAAAATATACACCAGATTCTTTTACAACTGAATCGTCGATAGTAATCATATAAGGCTCTTCAACGCAGGAAGTGGCTTGTCCATTGTTGTCCTTTTTGCAAGTGGAATAGTCTGGAAGTGTCTTCAATTTTTTGTCTTTCTTTGAAGGTCTACTTCCATACTTGATGTACACATCAAACTTCACGTCCCCTCTTGCTAGTATACTTAGCGGCAACTCTTCCACAGTCCAGTTGTATCTATGAAACGCCCATGCCCCAACCATATTGTTCATGAAATTCTGATTGGATGGATCAACATCGTCCGACACTTTTCTTGGGATGTAAATGTCGATGTCCTTAGGAAGTCCAGATACGTTCATGTCACTACCGCCGTCATTTTGGAGCTTCAAACTCACCATCATGGATGAGACATCCTCAGCGGACTTGTCCCAGGTGTTAGGGTTGGAGTCGAATCTCAGAAGCTACAATTGGAACAAAATCAATTAGATTTAATTAATAAGGAGGTGCAAATCCGCTTCAGTGAGTTTCAGTTGTTTGTGCATCAAGCCTCATAGAAGCAGAAGTTCTGATGAAACAATATTTTTATCTTCTTCCCAAAACTTTGCTTACTATTTTTAGCACGTTTACTTTGAAAAATGAGAGAGAAAAAAGACAAAGAAAAGAAAAACAACCGAACAAAAGCACCAGGACCAAAAATAAATAAATAGTAAAGAAATAAAGAAATATGATAAAATAAAAACAATAAATTAAAAATGCGCATTCATCTACCGTCTACTGCTATTTTTAAACTAAGCAAGGTCTGAACAATATTTTCTAAGGCGGGATTTGTTTTAACCTCCAAATTGCCATTCAAACAAAAGAAAATATCAGAACTCACCTTTACATCAATGTGCGATGTATTCGTTAGAGTATCGTTATTGAACATGGAATCTGTTGAAGGTAATCCAACAACTGCACTTCCATCTCCAATCGGCTTCTCAGATATCTTATCGGGTAAGTTTCGAGCCAGTGCAATGCTCATTGCAGGAGTATTTATGACAAGCGGTTTTTCACCAGGGACTTTAGTAGACAGTAAATTTTTAGTAGTTTTTTCTAACACTGACGATGTTTTCTTAGAGATGCCTTTCGCCTATTCAAAATTAAAATAAAATGTTAAGCTGAACATTTTATGATTTAAATATGGGAGGGGATTGCTGTTGTATTCCTGTTATATAATATTTGTGTGGAACACTATTTTGGAGGCAAAAGACCCTCAAAATGATTTAAGACGCGGGGTCTCTGTTCTAAATCTGAGCAGGCGTTAAAACTATAAATCAAAAAACAGTTTTTATTGCATGTTGCATGTTGCATGTTGCATGTTGCCTAACAAGCTTGAAATGTTTTCATTTGTAAATAATAGAGGCTTTGCACCATCACGTGATGGCAGCCATGACAAGAGGCAGGAAAAAAATTCGTTTTTACCTTAAAAAAGCCACTGAGATAGAAACGGAGTGACCGTTCGTACGGCCAAACAATTGTAAACCTTTGATTCGGCGCTTATTTGATAGCCGTAAGTTTATAAGTCTGAAAAGCTATTCGCTTTCTATTTCTGAACGAAGATAGGATAGTTTAAAATACTTGAGAACTACAGAACAAAATTGACTGCCGTACGAATAGCCTGTTCAGTAGAGCCCACGTATGCAGTGTTTTAAAAGCCTCCTCGCATAGTGTGGACAGTATAAAAAAATCTTGGACTGCAAAGAACTCGGCTTCAAATCAGTTATCTGTCATCCCGGAGACTTAATAGAGCATTCAGGTAACTCAGTGTTCTCTCTACGTATTTTGATTGATGAGCCATACCACTGATTTAGGGAGCCACTTTTTACACTTATCAATGGTAGCAAAGCCACAAAAATTCCTTGCTTTCTGCCTTCAAACTACTGTTCATAGATCCAAAAGCTATATAGTGTTTGATCGAAGTTAGAAAGACGACAAAATACTTTGTATAACAAAGATATCAATCAAAATGTTGTGATCTTTCGAACATTTGTAGTAAATTTCTTAGCAAATTCTCCGATGTTCGACCCGATATTCTATCACAATACCGCTGGGGGTTTGTTGGGGTGGCGTGCTTAATGACGATAACAGCTATTGAAACTGGTCTAATGTGATTTATACATAAGAAGGAATTCAGTTTCCCAGGGGAGAAAGACTCTATTGTTGTGCCTTCTGTCATGGCTGCCATCACGTGATGGTGCAAAGCCTCTATGTAAGCATAGAAAAACGCACCAAAAAAAGGTTTGCAAAATTCCCTGACCTTTCGCTGATTCATGTATACATCCCCATAGTGCTGTTAAGCCTTGGTATGCAACATGCAAGATAACTTCCACCAATCATTTTTGAAATAGCTGTATATTCCTTCTGTATGTGTAGGCTTATTACTTGAGTGGTACCCTGACCTCTAAAACCCTACATTCGCCTCCAAACTAACGTCGCGGTCAAAGGTTAGCGTACGTACCGCGGTTTTCCTCAGGGTGCTTAGTAGCATTTAAGGCACTTTTCGTAATACTGTGATAAGCTCGAGGCACGAACACTGTCGTGAAACGGCAAGGAATACGCCAGACCAATCACATTTATTTATTTACAATAATATTTAAACAGAATGCTTCTTCACTAATGGAGGCTTTGCACCATCACGTGATGGCAGCCATGACAGGGAGCACAACAATAGAGTCTTTTCCTCCATGGAAACTGAATACTTTCTAATATATATCAGATTAAACCAGAATCAATTGTTCCTGATGATGGTGCAAAGCCTCTAATAATGTAACAAAATTGAGTTTTGAGAAAATTGATAACACGAAATACAAATTGATAAACGCATAAAATTACATGTTTGGCTCAAGAGTGTAATGTCTATCCAATTAATTGTCCGAAACCCGGCTTGAGCACTGCGCGGACACAGTCACGCCAGTCTTTTCACTGCCAGACCAAATCACATTGCACGAGAAAAAAATCCCACCATCAAAATTCTAGAAAACATCACGGTAGCGGCAAAGCACGCTTATGGCACCGATCTTTTCACAGTAATGCGGAAACTAATAATAGCATTGATCTTTACTTTACCTGGTCACGTGGGTCCTCAATATCGTCTTGATCTGCATCCTTTGCACTTTTTCCCCCATAAACTCGAGCCGAGTCTCCTGCAGCAGCTATGAGATTACCCATACAGAACGCTATAGTAATGCCAGCATCCTCAATACTGGTCGATGTGGATTCTGGGTCATCTACTTTATTCTCGAATAGGCCTGCCATGTTTTCGAATGTCTGCAGCAGCATTTTCTGTCACAGAAATATGTGTAGCAATTGAAATGACTTGAATGTTATAATTAACGATTAGACCCGCAACCCGAATAGTTTACGAGTCGATAGCGCGCACTAGACCAAAGACCGAATGTGCTATTTACTTCTAGACCATGAGGGCGAGAGGTCGAATTGTTTTAGTATAAACCTACTAATAGGTCAAATAAATTAATACCAACAATGTTGAAATTAGGTTGAAGTAATTTATTTTTGCGTTGTTTTGACTTGGTTTTCAAAACCGTTACTTTTCGCTACTAGTGGTCTACCACTAATAGACCACTAGTAGCTCAGCCAATCAGAGTGCAGGATTTGTGATAGACCATTAGTACCAAGCTGAAAGCGCAAATAGAAGAGTTCCCTTTTCTTTGACGGTTTTGTCCGCGTTCTCGGGTCTTCCTCCCTCCACTAAAATCAACTTCTTAATTCCAATTCGATCACGGAACGAGGGCCACAGGTTTGTTAGCCACTGGCTATTAAGTGCTACCCTCGTAAAAACAAGGACGGTTAGTTAAGTTTCTCTCGGCCCCAAAGAGGTTGTATCAGGGTTCGATCTGTGAGTTAGCCGTGGCCTGACTTTGATCAGGTTGTTTCAGGGTTCAATCTGTTAGTTACCCAAGCCCTGACTTAGATCAGCCCACCCAGAGGTTGTTTCAAGGTTCTATTTTTGAGTTTATTAGCCGTGCTGTGATTTTGATCAGCCCAGAGGTTGTTTCAGCGTTCCATCTGTGAGTTACCCAAACCCTGACATATATCAGCCCAGGGGATCAATAACATAGAAGATTGATTTGGTTTGGAATGGAAAGCAAAAAGTAAAGACAAAGACAAAGTAAAAATTTCTTGCCTGTGTTTCCACCGGTACTTCTTCTTTCTTGACGGTGGCTGATGCCAGTGTTGGTCCAATTTGATTCAAGGCGGACAATGACTTGATCTCTTCTTTGTAAAGCGTTTTTACTATTTGTGTTCTCATCTTCAAAGCAAAGAGAATAAATATCAACACTTTGAAATTGCATTGAATATGACGCGCGCTGTAAACTAGTTAACTTGCTATAGTGTAAAAGAGTATATAGAAATGGTAAAAAGAAATCCCCATAAAAATAAGATCTACTAATTATCATTAAAACCACTCTATCCACTTGTACAAAGTATTAACTCGAATAAGCGCCGACCCCGATTAAGCGCCGCATATGACGGCAAAAGTATTAAAGAATAATCGAAAAATTAATAATCCTACTGAATTGTTCGAGGAGTCAATCTAAAAATCAAGTACGGTACAAACTCATTTAAACCAGGCACGTAAATTTATGAGCCACATATACATAGACAAAGTGATTCATTGAAGTGCAATATACGGAATTATATATCAAACCTCTTGTCTGCTTTTCCTATCCTCTTCGCTTCCATTTTTTTCCTCGGCAAAAACATTGATGACGGAAGCCAGTGAATTCACCTCCTGCGTAAATTCTTGCACCCTTCCTTCCTTGATCATGTTCGTCAAGTCACTATCATTGCCCAGAGCAGAAGAAAACTTGCTCATCAGGTTATTTTTTTCACCTGGAGGGAGTTTTACCTAAGTTAAGAATGAATAACGATTAGTACATTCTTTATTTAAAGTTTTTAAGTAAAAACAACCATTGCAAGGATAAGGGGGAAAAAGGGGGAAACTGGAATAAACTAAGTTAAACTAGAAAAACGCTCAAAATTGGAAAAGTGAAAAAATATTCAAAAAACAGTCAGAGAGTAAATAGAGATTACTACATGTTAAGAGCTTGATATCGTTTTTATTCACGAGTTTCCATATCATATCGCGAACAAGCGAGTGAGTGATATGATATGGAAAACGAGTAATAATTGTGTAAATGTCTAAATGTGTAATAATTTTTTTATTACACATTTAGGGTCGATAAAATGAAAAAAAAATCAGTTTGATGTGAAGTGATATTGTATCACATCACTGATATGGTTTTTATTCACGACTTCATCACACTGATATCGACACCATTGATACCATATTGATGCCAACATAAGTTATCGTATCACTTCACTGATATGGTTTTTATTCACGACTTCATCGCACTGATATCGACACAATTGATACCATATCGATACCAACATAAGTTATGAAAATTTTATCGATCCAAGTAAGATTGTGGTTTCCCAAATTAAAAAAGTCTACCTTAAGCCACCTTGACTTTGAAAACACTTACCTGAACTGCCATATCAAATTCTGTATATGCTCCTAACGCATCTATAATTTTGACGAAAAAAATTGTGGTAAAATTCTTTTGCGGATTACCAACTGGAAGTTTGGTTTTCACAATGTTTTTGCGGCCGTAATAGATCAAGGTCGCCAGGCCGTATACACTACGATAGTTATGCTCATAGGAGAGTGGTTGATCCTTGTCTTTCCAGTCGGAGCAGTGAAACGTGAAGTTCGTTTTATCTGCAAAGCCAGAAGAAATATCCACACTGCAACTTCCACCGTGTGGGGGCTTGTTGACTATAAATTCAAAAATTGAACGACCAGTTGCCCGTCCATAAAATTTTCCAGTCAAAATCAGTCGATAAGGGATTTCTCCTTCGAGGGTATTTGCTCTTATTACTAAAAACTTTTGATTCAATTCTGTGTCTGTTAGATTTCGGAGTTCCTTTACTGTTCTCCACGAGAGAGAGCCGAAACTGCGTCGTTTCCGGTTTGAAGTACTTTGATCTGAGATCTGTAATTCCCAAGAGTACTGGATTTTCTTGTAGGGAGTTTCCTCTGGGCAAAATCCTTCTAACGAGAACTTGTCTGAGAGGGTTACTTTCCATTTGCAGTTTCTCTTACATCTAAAAAATGACACCACATCAGCTCAGATCGTATCCGATAAAAGCATAAATGAATGAATGAATGAAAAAAGGAAAGAAAAAAAAAAGAAACAAATTAATAAATGAATAGACTTCTTCATTTTGGGCGTTATATTTCCCATTTCAAACCACGTGTCATTCCCAGAGTATCATTTCTTTATATAAAGCAGTGGATACACAGGGCAACATTGCATGCAAAAATGCGCGCAACAAATTTGAATCGGAAAGTTATACAAAATCCAACCTAACTAAATTCACGCAACATCTTCGTTCTTCGAAAGCGACGCCTGCTATACTAAAACGTTTGATCAGCGGCTTTTTATTTTAGTGCATCTAGATTCAATACAAATTTCAAAATACTATTAGCGATATTGCAGCTATGTTAACAATATGGTATTTTTGCGCACGTTGTGTTGCATTAGATCGGTATGATTCATCGCTTGAAATGTTGTAACAAGTCTTAGAGGAGGACAAACGATGCAACAATGTTGCGCTCAATGTTGTGTGGAATTTTGCAAAAACGGTTGCGCTTGAGGAAACACATGAATGTGGTTACAGCTCAAATAAAGAATCTTATTCTCAAGAGAATAACACGTGATCTTTAATGAAAAAATATTACGCCTAAACTAAAAGGGACTTTAAAGTGTATATGACACGAAAACATT